CCAGTCAGCGCCCGACGAACCTTGTGAAAGTAGAGCTCAAGAATGTCATGTGACACAATCGAGATAGTGGAGAAAACATCAATTGGAAGACCGAGTGCAAAGCAGTGAGTTCATCCTTAATATTTTTACTCGTGCCAATTCAAATAAAGCACGGAACTGGTAAAAATTGTCATGTAGGGCTTTATAAGAAACTTGTTCAGAGTCTGCGAGTAGCTTGACGTTTTCCAAGAGCGAAAAATTGACCGTATGATCGCCTTTAAGTCTTTTTCGGGGTGACTTTTTTCCTCGCGAGTTGGTTATCTATAAATACGAAACGGCCTTGACCTCACTTTATGCAAATCATAAAGTGATCCTGCTCATGGCAGGCAAAAAGTAGCTGACGACACGTGAGCAGTGCTACATCAGCGCTTCGTTGCAAGTGAGAGCCGGCCTTAATTCAAAAACATATCGAACTGTCAATACAACCGTCTCCCGAAATTTACTTACATGGCATATCCCTCCCAGGTCCAGTTTAGAACACAGGGTGTATTCTGGAATGCAGCTATCGGTCATGATACCGCATTCTTCATTCGAAATATATTTCACTCGCGCCTCCATCAGGTCATCCCTGAGCACCTGCACGAGCGTCCGGCTCGCCTTCGTGTCGGTCCCAGCATCGCCGTTGGATTCAGCGGCGTTTTCTTCAACAATCTCCCGTGCACCTTCCTTTCCGTGTTGTATGTTTCTTACAGCAGACGCAGAAGCCGAGAATCCCTCGGTATAAAACGGAACTTCCAAATCATCCATATATTCAATAACTGAAAGGAAAATGCATCGAGTTGTAATTCGTTGTTCTCACAATGCGGCCGAATATACTTGGAACATTAGTCGAAATACATGGAAGCATAGAAGCTGCCATGAGCGCCCGTCAAATATGGTAATTTTTTATAAGAAAATCACGTGAAAAACAAAATTGTACGGCAAAACTCCGGAATTTAATGCGCTTTACAGACCTAATACCATTTACTAAATTATTAACGTATAGCTAATATTGTGGTCACACTGCTAATACACCACACCAAAGACTGTCTGTAGACACTGTCCAAGGCGTGTCTCCTCCTTGTATGGCCGTCACATTGTTCCTCAAAAACCGGCGGCTGACATGGTTCAAGCAAATAAATACACGAAGGAAACATGCATCGAAAATATTTGAGGCCTGTCCGCAGATATTTATGTCAACACGTCTAGCGAACGTTACGTCTTCTGTATGGTGTATGAGCAGTGGCACTGCGGCTCAGTACTACGACGGGAATGTTATATGACCCCAACTGTAGGCAGTATTCCCCAGTCGGTGGCCGAGTGTTAAAAAGGGCTTGGGATGTTCACACCGTGCAGCGGTTAAAACACACAGAATAATTCAGAAAGCTTCTGATCTTGTCAATGTAGACAGATGAATAAGTTGGACGAAACACACAACAAACAAACAAACAAAACTTAAGAAGAACCCTGTTTTTGTTTATTTCTAGCTTACCAGGCGTGTTTCATCTAAATCGCTCACCTGTCCAAATTAGCAGAAGCATTAAACCAACTAGTCCAATTAAAACCCGTGAAGGTTGGTTCACACATATGCGGCTACTTACGACCGAGTTCTTGCAATCACTTTCTACGAGATAGCACACTTGCACATCGGCGCCACCTATGAGGTGGAGCTAGAACTGCATTGCAATTGAGCGAAAGTTTTTTTTAGAGCGCAGCTCTTAGGCGCCTGTTTCCGTGTTTCGCGGCGTCGACGTTTGCGAAACCGCGCTACATTTAGCAGGAAAATTGACGTCAAGTGACCTCAACACCAACTCATTTCCCCGCTACGTGACCTCAACACCAATTCAATTCCCAGCTAAATTTATCGGGGAAATTCAGTTTCTGCGCTAAATTTAGCGGACAAATTCAGTTAATCCGCTAGTTTTAGAGGGGATGTTTACGTCACATGACCTCAACTTAGCAGGAAATTGAATGAGCGATGAGGTCATGCATGTGACGTCAATGTTCCTGCTAAATCTAGCGGAGAAAGTGAATTTGTTCTTAGCTGACGTGACACCAAGTAATGTGACGTCATTTACCCGCTAAATTTAGCGGGGAAACAAAATGGAGGAGGAGGGGCTGAAGGAGATGGAGGAGGAGAGGAGGAGGGGGCATACCCTTCCCTCCGTACCCTCCCCTCCTCCTCCTCCTCAAGAGCTGCGCTCTAATTTCGCATTACAGAAATTTTTAAGTGTTTGTCATTTTCTTTTTTGCTTTGTTGGCGAGTGTACGTACTATTTATGAGAAGCGCTCGTTTATAACATGGGGATTTTTCTAAAGTCAATAAAGAAATAATGATGCACAAAAATTGTTGGAAATATACGGACATGCCAAGCGTTCCACGGATACCGGAAAGAGGATGCCAGTGTGTTATCTAGTCCAGAGCCATATATGGAGAGAGTTTGGCCAGTCTATGATCTCGCCTCCGTAACGCCCCCCTCCGGAGTGAGCCAATCAGCATGCGGCGCAGAGTTAGAGTCGTGAGTGCATGCGCGTGAACTCCCGGCGGCTCCCAGCTGAGCGGGGAGGGCCTCCATTTTCATTCATTCGCCCGGCGGAATCCATGGGATCGACATCCAAATTTCGGTTCTTCCCTATTATATGGCAGGCTCTGGCAAAAAAAAAAAAATGATACAGTGTTATTCTTCGGTTGCTTAAAAAGCTAACGAATGAGGTTACTCCTCGTTTGAAAGCAGGCGAAGCAGAAATGAGCCCGTAGCAGACGACGCTTAGCGTAACAGTGCTCGGCGCCGACAGCGTTGCGTCAGGATGGCGGTCGTCTCCTCTTTGCTCCCTTCTTTCTTTCTCGCTCCTTCGGCGCTCTCCTCCCTTTCCTTCACTTTCCTCCTCTCCGGCACCTTCGTCGCCAGACCCACTGGCCGAACCCTCCGCATATACGGCTCTGAACTAGTCGTAAAAGGTCACAATGGGATGTAGGGCATTCGGTCATAAGCTGTCGCAAGTGTGTGAACGAGTTTTTACGCTTCTTATATGTCGCGAAATAAAAGCAACATAGAACTCTGTGAGCATTAATAAAACATTGTAGTCATGAGTGACATAGAAAACGTAGGGGTCATCAATCGACAGTCATTCGGATTAAAGTCTCTCTATCCTGGGAATAGTGGCGCCATTCGGTGCTGTGGAAATGCTCGAGACACGTGCCGCGCGCCACCTCTGGGAAGAACATGTCGTCTGAAATCTAGGTCAGAGCTGCGCTGTGCCGCCATGCTCTTCCCAAGGGCTGCGCGTTGCACGTGCCTCTTGCATCGACGCGCCTTGCACTACCTTTGAAACATGAAGTGGCTTTAATTCGAATATCCAGATACCGCCCTCTCATTTTGTTTTGCATACTTAAATTTTTCAACATCGGAGAAGTGCTATATTTCGGTTGTTCTGTTCTATACTCCGTTTCATACTTAGTATACTCAACGCTGTCAAACCTACTGGCGCGAGCGCGTGGCTTCATCTATGATTTCGTTTGCGCGAGAAACGCGTGCAAAGGATCTGGAGGTCAGATCCCATGCTCGCACCAGTAGCTTTGACAGCGTTGTACACTATTGGTCTCGAAACCCAGATTGAATTGTGTGGAAGCGTACTTTTGTTTATCCATGGTTCTCTCTGAGGCACGTGGTGATTCTATCTCTCCACAAGGCGGATGGAGACAAGTCATTTACACTAACGGCACAGAGTACGGGCAAGGGTACAGAACACGAGCTCTTAGCAGTTGATTCGAGTGCGCCAGCGCTGCATTAGCGCCTCCCATGGCCTCGGCCTCGCGTGCGTCGCATTCGTTTTCCCCCAAGTAAGTGTAAAACAAAGCGTAGTTCTGCCCTTCACCGCATCAGCTGTGTCGATCGAATCTCGAGGCAAATACATCGTTTCAGCTGAAGTCCACACACAGCCGATGCTACAAGCGCCAGTTCCGAGCTTTCAGCGTCCCTGCCAAGCACGTGCGCTCGTGTGGGGCGAGCACTGTTTATGGCCACATGATCGCGCTCGTAGCATCGGCTGCGTTTGGACTTAAATTGAAATGAAGTATAATAGTGCCACAGATGTTTACTTTACATTCCAATGTACGAAGACTTCGGACACCCGGCAGTCAACTAGAGCATCGATCAAATTAAGTCTCCCAAATAAGCTTTAGTTCGGGTTAGGCTTACTCAGAGTTGTAGGCGTTACCGATTAAAAGTTGCGAAATACTTTACTCGTTACTTGCAAGCAAAAGGAGCGCGTTACCGACCTACCTTAATTGAAAATAAAAGGAATGCGTTGCCGTTACCGTTACTGAAAAAAGGAACGCACTTTGCTTTTGCGTTACTTTTTATTTGGGAATTAAACGTTTTGTTGTTTCACGTTACGGGTATGCATGCATAACCGCCATATTTCAAGAAAGTTAATGTCCATAACAACTTAGCATAATAATAATTACCTCATCCTTTCTGCGGTTCCACCTATATAATCACAAGTAAAAACGCGAAAAAGAAAAAAAACTCGAAAAACGCAAGGTTTCATACAACTAGGGTTCCGCGTTTTCGGTTTCTATTTTTTCATAATTCGGCGTACTTTTTTCGGTGTTTAATTTAAAATTCAATTTTCTGTTTTTTTCGGCGTATATTTATGCCCACCAAAATTTATCGGCTTTTTTCGGTGTATATAAAATAAATCAAAAATATCAGAGCTACAAGGATCATCTGATCCGGACACCGGATCAGATGATCCTTGTAGCTCTGATATTTTTGATCACTCAAATAATAACGGCACAGATATATTGAAAAAGAAATGGACACTTCATTTGGCAAATGTGTGCAACTGCAAAGAATCAATAAAAAAAAAACAGAACTAAAAACAAATCAGATATAAAGCCTATGCCCAAAAAAACACGGAACTTCACCTTCTGTATATCAGGATTGCATGATCTTATTACAGTCCACACGCATGTACTTTCCCAGGTTCTCTTCGTTGATCCGCGCTCTTTCTTTCCTGTTAATATGACACTGAGCTTCGAAAATGCCCTCTCAACGCTAACACTGGACACTGGCAGGCTGAGCAGATGAAGCGCTGACTGAGTCAAAATCGGCCAATCAACCAATTGTGAGCACCAAAAGAGGCACGGTGCGACGTTTTGAAGCACAACACAACATGCAGAGCTTGCATCAAGTCAGTCTTCCTTACAACGAGTTTGAAAACACGCCCATACATGGCGAAGTCATGGGGCATTTCGGACTTTACGTTCTGATCAATGATGCGCACAATAAACCAAAACGTCGTGATGGCATCCGTGTATCCCATACATTCGGAAACGTTTCGATAGACACTGTCGTTCCACTTTTTCGCCACGGCTCTGCGGTACGACTGGAAGGTTAAAGTGACCGTTTCCGGTTAAAACTGATTTTCAGAAAATGGATTCGACGTACCTTTATCGGTTTTTATTGATTTAAATCGAAAATACCGAACCTAAAAACTGACCTTTCTCGGTTAAAACCGAATTTCCCAAGTTGAATTCGGCGTACTTTTATCGGTTTTTATCGGTTTAAACCGAAAACTCCGAACCCTACATACAACTTGGCGAAATGAAAGAAGCAAATATTCCAAGCGAACTTTTTTAGCTTTTGAGAAAAAATAGTAACGAGTAACGTAAATACGTTGCCCGTTTATTGAAATAAGCAACGTAAATACGTTACCCATTACTGCATTGAAAAAGTAACGAATACGTTACCACGTTACCGAGAAAAGTAACGTG